GTCCCTTCCGACCCTACCAACTATGAAACTATGAAAAAAACCAACCTCACAAATATATTCAGACAGGTGTCCCACAAAGGCCATACATTACCATCTGCATATGCCTCTAGAAACATGCAAATAGTAACATTGCCTTTAAGCAAAAATAGGTATTGAAACTCCAGCAATAGCTGCCTACTATTCCTTTGATGAGTTCAAGTGTTCATGGCCACAGTGAATGTTTCTGGATGAAGGAGTGGTAGCAAAGGTCCAGACACTGTTTTGGCATGGAGGAAATGGGGAAAAAAGCAGAGTAGCTTGAGGAAGAGTCCTGTTGATACTGGATTGAAGAATCTTTTATCCAGCAGTTTGGGCCCTGCGAGCCATAGAAAACTTCCCAGAGAAATCCCTATAAGCTATATTTGCATCTCAGTGCTGCTTGAAAGTCAACACTCAGGTGTTGAAGCACTTAGCTTTTGAAGCACTGTGGGGCTGTGCCGGACTCCTCCCAGGGGCGAGAGCCCCCAGATCTGCAGGCCAAATGAGAAGAGGTTGCTGTTGCTGGCAAGTGCCAGGAGTTGTGCTTTGGACAGTTTGAGCTGCAGTTTCCCAGAAACCTTTGTACCTATCTCCTTGAAACTTGGGTAGGCTTCATGCCCTCAGAAGGGGCTACCATCCTGCAATTTTCATCCAAATCAGGCAAGAAATTACAAAGTTTTAGGCATTTTCATGATTACCCATTATAGGCTATGGGCAAAACGTCAAAACACGTTGAAACAGCAGAACTGTTGTGATGAAACGAAACGGGACAGTGCTTTGAAATGAAACAAAACAACAAAATGAAACACTGTTCCTTCAAAGCGGTGAAACAGGTGTCAAAACAAAACAATAGTTTTTCGCACAGCCCTAGCATCCACCGTTCTGGACAGTGCTACACTGTAGTAATAGAACATGGAACTCAATTGCAATGTAACTAGCAGATAAGCCCAATCAAAATGTATATGCATTTACAAATATTTAGAAACATTTAATGGGTGTGGCAGAAAAAATTTATGCTGGTTTACAAAAGGCCTCATTCTGCTACCAGTAAATTAAGGGGAGTGTTACCTTGGATTTCAGTAGAGCAAGAATGGTCTGGAATGAATGGAATAAAAAAATGCAATGTACATAATGTTAAAATAATGTCTTAACTCGGGTTTAAAAAAACCCCCAAACTTTTCATTATACACTACAACCTGAAACACTATGATATGCTATTATGACACACTGACTCAGCACCCATTATAATAATGTCCTAGGTAGAAACAGGAAACTGTACAGTATTATGAAAGCATTTTAGTATCCCAGATACCTGTGGAGGTTTCTAGAAGTTTGTGATGTCATACACATGTCATAGGCAGGTGGCTATGAGTATTCAACATCCATCTATTTATAAAAAACATTTCATAATAGGTAATAAAATGCTCCAGGCAGCACATTTCTAAAGGTTATTGTACATGATGGGTAGCTAATGACTCTTTGTGTTTGATCTTGTGCTTCATGGCACTAGCTAGTGCATGTTATGATGATAATCAATTCAATAAATTACTCTTCACATTTTAATGCTCCAAGTGTCTCATGCAATGGTTGTCCTGGGATTCATATAAAATTAGTTGGTAGCTTCTGTCCAGTTCTTTGTGGGTGGATTCCCAACTCCTTCAATAGCCACTCTCACATTTACTCTTCCATCTCAGAAAAAGGTAATGATATGTTTTGTATCATGGTTGGTCACTACATGTCCAGGTTAAATCACCTCATAGAGAAGTTTGCATCAACAATATCACTGATTTGTATTTGTACCCCACTTCTGGGCAATTTAAATACAATGCTTATTATAAACCTAATACATACTACTGATCAGCAGGGATCTGGGTTTTCTGTATGTCACAGGAAAACATGGACATTCTCCTTTAAAGGAGAAAAACCCAGGAAATGATGGGTTCCCCCTTGCAGCCTGGCAGAGTTCCAGCCTGCAAGGGGCTTTTTGGGGCTGGGGGGAGTGGGATGCAGGGGGCGCCACCATGAACAGCGCGTGCCCCTGGCGGCTGGGTGAACAGGTGATATGGAGGGGGGAAAGGGGGTACATGCCCCCCCTCCCCCCAATTTCTGTGTCCACAGCAGGTCACGGGGCTGCAGCTGGGCTACACCAACCCCAGGCAGGAACTGCCTCTGCAGCCCAGCAGGTGACCGAGCACGGGAGGGAGTGCCACAGCCACCATGGCCACCAAGATGAGGTGCTTCCTGCCTGCCCAGCAGCAGCAGGGAACAACTCCACACCGTCGTCATGCCTCACATTGGCAGGCATGGCAGCACGGTGTTCCATTTTGTGCCAGGTCCTGCCCATAGGGCTGTGGAGGTGGCTCCTGCCTGGAGCTAGTCTGTCTCAGCTGCATCCTTGCACCCCGCTCTGGACACAGAAATCTGTGGGGGGGGGAAGGCGTGTGTTCTCTCACCCCTCCCCAAGTCATCTGTGGCTCCCCAACCCTCCTGATGCATCACCTGTGCCCACACCCCACCTTCCCCACAGAACCACCGCATTTCTTACACACTGTGTGGGCTGAGGTTGAGGGCCAGTGCTTCAGAAGTGGGGGGCACCAACAGGGTTGGGGGGGGGGGTCTGTGTGGGGGGAGGGGCATATCAGGGCTGCTCAGCATCACAAAGCAGGGGTGGGGGGAGAGACAGCCACAGCTGGACCCGCATCCTGGTGAGCTAAGGGGGCAGGGGGAGCTCTGATTTTCCATGATAAAAAAAACAAAATCAAACACCAAAATATATAGGTATTTAGAACTGAATTTATTATAATGATTGAGGCACTAATAGGCTTCCAAACTGCTTTTAAATTGTAAATATATCAATAAGACATTGTATTCAACTGATACCTGTATATATAATGATGTTTCATTTTAAGCACGAAAACTTGCAGATTTTGATTTTTTAAATCAGAGAATTAGGGATTTTTAAACAGAGAAACCAGGATCCCTGCCGATCAGTAAATTAGTTAAGACTCTTGCCACTGAAATGTGAGTGAACTGTTAACTGCAGAATTGGGGCATTGGCAGAACATCTTAAATTTCCTCTTTAAAACTTAATAATGTCTGCTATTAATTTTAATTGATAGAATTAATCTCCTTTTGTCCCCTCTAAAAGTTTCTGTACTGTCATTTGACAACTCCTGGGAATACTGTTATTGTATATGGTGGGAACTTAAGGCTCTCCTGTCACCACAGCAGAAACAGACAAGAATTGAGATGCAGGAAAGAGCGTAAAACCCTAGACTGGATGATACTGCTTTAATCTGAAACATAACCTACTGTTATATTATCAGAAAAATTAAATCTATTTTCAGTGCCTCAGTGCAGGTCCTCTGGACAGAACTGAATTTCACCTTGAACAGCTGCAATTAAGGAGGAACTTCTGAGTTCTTACCCCAGTTCTGATGGGGGGGGGGGGGGGGGGGGGGGAATCTCATGTTTCTTATTCCAAAGCAGTTGGTCTCAATCTGGGGTTCTCTCAACTTTTTATAGTGGGACCTGAATTTTAAAACAGAGGTTCTCACAGGTGTCTTTTGTACCATTCACAGAGATCTAATTCCTGTGATAACTATCACAATTAGTACTGAGTGGGTGCATCTACACAAGACACTACTGAGCAGCAGCTCGTTGCTACTGTACAGTCTGCATCTGAAAAACTATGTGAGCAAAGTACTAAATGATTGTGCAGCAACAGCTGCTCATGCCACTGTTTTAACTATTTTGTGTAACAGCTGGAAACATAGTTAAGGATAGTGACTGTGGGGTCTGGATCAGACAAGAAACTGAGATGCATGTCACCTCCCTGCTGATGCACCTCTCCTGCAAGAATGTCCCATACCTTTTTGAAGCTAGCTAAACCTTCAGCTTCCACAACATCTGATGGCAATTAGTTCCACACTTGAATGATACACTGTGGGAAAAAGACCTTCCTTCTTTGGGTTTTAAACTTACTACCAGCTAGTTTCATTTTGTGACCCCTAGACCCTGTAGTGCAAGAGAGCGTAACTAATAAATCCCTATTGTCTTTCTCTTTGCAGTTTAGTATTTGGTAAATCCTTGTCACGGCCCACCTCAGGTGTCTCTCTTCTAAACACCCCTCAGGGAGCGAGCACTGGAAGCCCGCTGGCTCCGCGAGCGCTTCGGGATGCTTGGCAGGACCGCCCCGCCGGTGGGCAAGGACTGACGCCTTTAGACAGGGATGGTCCAGCTCTGACAGCTGCAGGGGCCTGCTCCATGTGGCCAGTGCTGGGGCAAGGCCGAGCGTGGGCTGGCGGGAAACGCAGGCCACCGGGTGCGCTTTATTTCTCTGCGCAGGGCGTGCCGGAGCACAGCGCAGCACTTGGGGCCAGGAAGAAGTGTCAGCCCGGGGCCGCGCTGCCGCACGCTGGGGCGAGGGTTGCTCTGGAGCGGGCAGGCCCCTGCCTGGGGTCTCCACTGCCGACACCGGGGCAGAGCAGCACGAGGCTGCCAGTGCCCTGCG